TTTATTATAAAATAGGTGTTTATATATATATATATATATATATATATATATATATATATATATATATATAAAATATCTGTTTGTATTCATTTTTTTTTATAGAAACAGAATTATATTTATTTATATACTTAATAAATATATATTTTTATAATAAGATATTTCTTATACGAAAGTGTTAAAAAAAAGTTTTTATATAGAAAAAAAAAGGTTTTTTATGTGAAAATATGTTTTTTTGTATAAATATGATTTTATAAAGCAAAAAAACATATTCATAACCAAATTTTGAAAAGAAAATGTAAAAAAAAACTAAATTTAGGATGAATTCATAACAATTTTTTGAAATCTAGGCCAAAAGTATAAAATATAGACCAAATTTATAATAAAATTTAAAATCTCTACTAAAAATGTAATTTTTGAATTTTAGATGATATGTTGACCGGGTAAAAAGATCAAAATGAATAAAGATTATATTGAGTATAATTGGGAGTTAATTAACTAAAAGAAGATAAAGATTATGTTGATTATAATGCATAAACATAAAGATTTTTCACTAGAATAAATAAGTTGTTAATATATACTTTTACTATAAACATCAAATATTAATATTAGATCAAGTATAATGCAAATTTGTTATGCATCAACTAGTTTTAAATTTACTTTTTAGTACATCTTTGCATGAAATTTGTTTTTAAACAAATCATAAGTTAGTATTTGTTTTATACTTAAAAGGTCATATATTTGTTTAGAAAAATTTAAAAATAACAATTGTAGTAGTAAAAATAATAATTAATAATATTATCAAGTTAATAATCTTATATTATATTATTTAACTAATAAACAAGTGATATCAATAATAACAATACTCAATGTAGAATGTATAATAATAATAGTGATAATAATATATGTAATTAATATAATAATAATATTAATAAATATTAAAATAGTAAAAAAAATTAATAATAAAAATCATAACAAAAAATGCAATAAAATGATAAAATGTTTACAAATAAATTTATCTTTTTATATAATCGAAAACAGATTATTGTTGTTTACTTCTTTTGTCACTTTCAATACTAATCTGTTCGCTCATGCAGGTCAATTTTGTCATCCTTCAGCCTACACTTTTTGCGCAATCGCACGCGCTATAACAAAATACGTCGTCAACGTCACCCAAAGGCAGATAAGGTTCCACGTCAGCAACCCAAGCCGACATGGCTCCGACGCGCCATTATGCGCGTACACACACACGCATGTATTAATCTCTTATCTTGTATTTGTTGTTCATCATTTTTTTATACATAAATGAATAAATGAATTGGCGTGTCGTTTGAAGCGATCTGATTATCCGTGTCATAAATTGTTTTAAGAATTTCTTATGAATTACGATCAAAATCGAACAAACAGATTGCAAAAGCCTCTGACGTTTGTATCTTCTGCGTTTTGATCGCTGATTGGACCAGAGAAGTTAGCCATCGTTGTTGAAATGAGTTGGATGTCGAAATTTTGAGGGAAAAAAAAGGAAAATTCATCAAAACCTTTTTAGATTTTATCCGATTACCTCGATTGTAGCAAAACGCAGAGTTTTATTTTTGTTTTTAGGGGTATTTATCATTATTTGGTTGTTGGTGTTCGTTTTGGATAACGAATATTATGGTTCTGGATCTAAACGATATGTCGAGGAGGGAGCATCGGCAAGATCAACAATCTAGGGTTTTCTACGAGCTATCGGCTTTAATTTTGAACATACTCCGGTATCCTCCGACGCCGATCCAATTCTCTGATTCTGATGAAGTATCTACGTCTTCCCGAAGGCAGCCTCAACGGCATCCGTTAACGCAACTAACGCCGGCGGGGTTTGCATCGTTGCTATTGGGGATATCATTGTCCTTGATGCTGTGTGGATCGATAACGTTCTTCATTGGGTTCTTATTGATGCCTTGGGTGCTTGGCTTGGTTTTGGTGTTTTATGTTGTTGGGATTATTTCGACTCTAGCGATGCTCGGTCGCGCCATTTTCTTCCATACTTTTTCTCCTAAAAAAGGCGTTCCTGGTATGACATACAAATACAATTATTGCCTTTTCCATTAAACTTCAGAATCTCCATTTTTTTTTTTTTTTATGTGCTAAGATCAGTAAATTGAACTACAATCCTTACGTATAATGGATTAGACTATATGCTCATCGAGTCATCAGAGTTGTTGAAATTTGAAATGATCTATCTCTGTATGTATATATGGTTCATGTCGAACATCTTCTAGAATTGAATGAGTGAAATAGTTTGAACTAAATGATTTAGCTTATATATTATGGGTTTGATTGTCGATCAATTTTTGTCATGTAGTTCGTATCTATAAGTTATAAATATGTTGGCTCACAAGTTCAATGGAAAGTTGGAAACTTTGGTCTAAAAGCTTATATCCATCCACCTATTGGTTCTGACTATTCTTGCACTCCTATTGGTTTTCTTTTTGTTGTTATTTGGTCATCTGATTTCCGTTTATGGGGGGAATACTACTTTGTTATGCATATTGCCTTTTTTTTTTTTTTTTATGTTTTTGAACAAAATCCATGGAATTGGAATTGTTAGATTGATGGTTTATATTTTTTTTTTTACGTTTGCAGCGTGGAAACTGTTGTGAACAAAGGCTATAGACGGTCGAGTTACACCAACAGCCGCTGCTTTCTTGATGCAGCACTCCGGAAGGGGTTATTAGTTATAAAGATAGAGATATATTACTGGAAACTGTGCATAAATGGATACACGGACTTCTACTCTGTTTTAAAATTTTGAACTAGAATTTAGTACAACACAAACACATGGAGGATTTCTGTTTCTTGAAAACAATGTTATTAGAGGTGACTTTGAAAAACAGTATTTTTCGGGGTTATGTTGGGTTTGGGTGCCTATGATTTATGAAAATGTGTAATTTGTTACCTCATTCTTTTTAATATTTGTTTTGGTTGCATGATATAATTTAACAAAATATCAAAATTTTCAGTCTTTCTACAAAATAATACTCCAACTTAGCAATGGTTCAATTGCAATTTGCGAAAATGATTTTTTTAAAGAGAAAGACAAATTAGTTAATTTTCATTAAATTGTTCTAAAATTTAACAAAAATTTAAGCAACAAATAACATACCCAAAAAATAGGTCAAATGGGTGCGAAATGGACCGTAATGTCCACCTCTTTAAACAATTTTCTCGTTTATTATCTATCTTATAACTCCGCAGCCTCATTTAAACTTGGGATGAACATATGACATGTTGGACTGGATCGGATCGGAAAAAAAAAACTGGGATTGGACTCTGATCGAACCGGAAATACATCTAATTGGGCCGGTTTTCGGTTTTAATTTTCACATAAATTAGTTTTGGGTTTGTACCGGACCGTACCTAGAATATGTGTTTTTATCCGAACAGGATCGGAGACGAAAAGTTTTTTTTTGATCGACGTACATCAACTAATCCTTGCACTCCCTTCACTTTGTCAAAAACTTTTTGTGTTCGACTCCCTCTCCTGTTTGATAGTAGATTACGAATATACACAAAAAAAGCCCTACTAATCTCCTACTCTCTATTATCGACTACATATTATCCTCCCAAACCCTCCTTATTATGAATTGTTGTATATTTAAAATTGAATATTAAATAAGCTATTTTACATATTAATTGTCGTATTTGGTAGTAGTTATTATAAAAAATATATACAAAAATAAGAACTATTGTTTTTAAATAAATACAAATTTATCATTCAAGGGAAATTTAATTTTGTAGTAGATATGATTAAAAAAAAATCATTATTAGTTTTTATTAGAAAAACAATTTATGATCTAGCTACTAATTCACTATATTTTGGACACTGTATTGTTGGGCAAAAGAAGTCCAACAAATGGAATATATGAATCATACAGTCCAACAAGTTATGTGAAGTCTAACAAATATTTAGTAACAGATGCTACAATTTGGTCTAAAAACCGAAACTCGGTTTGGGACCCAAAACCGAGTTTTCAATCAAGGATTAGTTAATGTATAAGATAAAATCATAGTTACGGTCAAACAAAGTTAAAAATAGTCCTCATAAAATATTAATATTACATAAATTGTCTCCATAACAGTAAGGTAAGAGAAATAGTCCATATAATACTAAAATTACGTAGATAGTCCTTATATGAGACGGCCATAATTTTTCTAGCGTAATAGTAATGAAATTATAAAAACAATCTTTACTCTTTAGAGAGGATTGCAAAAATGATGTCTAAAATATGAGATTAATTTACATATCCCATGGGAACGCAAGTCGTGAGGGAATACATCTTACTCTATATCAAGATTAGATTAGTGAGCATACTTTGTCAATATAACGATGTGCGTGGCAATAACGATTTATAGCTATAATTTTGTATGCAGTTTACAGGAATCGATCAATAAAAGTTCAGATCATGCTTCACAAACTAGTTGATAATTTAGCTGGTAGCTGATAAGCTAGCTTATGAATATATTTAAAAAAGTCTTAAAACTGTTTTGTAACATCCCAATTTTTACCACAATTTTTTTTATTTTTAATATAGAAAAACTTCCAATAATATAAAAACCAAGTCAATAAAGACTCATGTGTATCAAGTACAATCATCCCAAATCAAAGTATCAAAATAGGGAAATCATAAAAACCTGCAAGTCGGGGTGTACAGTCAAGCATTCACATTCCCGCAATCATCTGAAGTAACTAAAACATAATTAATCCACAACTGTAAGAACAAAACTTATTGAGTTTTCCAAAATATCCATACATCACAACATAATAACAACTATGGGTTATCAGCAACCCTAGTAGGCTAACATCACGCCATGTGGGTTATCAACATGTTTGAGGGGTTATCAGCAACCCTAGGATTTTCAACAATCCCGTGGATTTCCAGCAATCCAAAAAATATCAGCAATTCAATTCACACATAACAACAATCAACAATTAAGACCCAGCTGGTCAACATACATAACTGCCACATAAGTATATAGTGATAAGACTCACCTCGTGGATAGTAGATAAACACAACAACTCAGACATAGAGTAGATAGGTACAACAAGACACCTAACACCAATAAAGAGGTACCCTTTCAGTCTATACTCTAAAACCTAATTTGACAAAAAGTCAGCCATGGTCAAAAGTCAGCGATAAAGCCTCAGTTTACCTACACTCAGCGTACATGCTGTTCTACGCTTAGCGTAGAGCTCCAGATGGAGACATGAAAAAACTACGCTATGCTCAGCGTAGAGGAATTTATGCTTATCGTAGCAGTCTGATTGTCAAAAATTCCATTAAGTTGTTAATACATAAAGTTAGCTCTTCAAACTTTCAGATATGAACCAAATGAACGTCCTGATGGATAAAGTCTCCGACTTTATCCATTTTTATGTCAACAAAGAGCAATAAAATCAAACCCTAAGTCTACGAAGTACTCAAATGCTCAAGATCTCATGCACATATTGATCCTAAAATACTGATATCAATGGACCTATCCTAAGGATCATTGTAACATCCTGTTTTAGGATGTTTCTTAGTTTAGGGTTGTGGACCATAATTCGACCATGTAAAGGCCTTGGGTTTCAAGGGAATAGAGTTTAGACTCTATTGGTTGTTGATGGTGTTGGATAAGTGATTTAAACTTTGGATTGTTCGTTGGAAGCTGAGGGGTAAAATAGGAAAAACGATGTTTCAGACTTCTTTCATAAATTAAGGATTTTAGTTCGAGATGTTTTTAGTCATAAGTAACTAGATAGACTTGTGAGGCTCGTCGATACCTCTCAGTACATATAAAGAACTCCGAAAACGAAGTTGAAACGAAGAAGTTATGGCTGTTTGAAGTTAAGCTGGAAAAGGAAGTCTGGTAGTACGTTGGGCGTACACTAGGTAGTACGCTGGGCATACTAGGATGAAGGGAGGCGTTTCTAGGGTGTTACGTTGGGCATAACTTTTGGTACGCTGTGCATACCGCCGCGGTGTTAAAACCCTAATTTCATAGGTTTGAGCCCAATTTAAGGTCTCTAACCCCTTAGGGATCTTTCCTATCATTAGCCTCCACCCTCTTGAGCCTTTAACTCGAAACTCTAGCCTCCTCTCACTTATTTTGAGCCTTGGAATCATTTTATGAGCTTATTTCTCCATTAGAAGGTGGGATCTTGAAGAACAAGGTGGTGGCAAAGTGTATGGAAGAAGGATTCAAGCATAGATCCAACAAGATTACATCATTTCTAGACCTTTGTGAGTAAAAACCTTCAAACTTTCTCATTAGTTTCATAGATCTTGTTAATTTTCATATTTGTCACTTTTTGGTCACTTTAGTGCATAAAGTGTAGATATTGAAAGTTTGTGACCTTGTTATGGATAAAATTGGAAACTTTATCCATCTAAACATCATAATGATTCATATATGAAGGTTAGAGACTTGGACTTAATTGATTAAGATGAGAAAGATGTGTTTTTGGTCCCTTTGAGGCTTAAAGACTATATCTTAGTTGTTTGGGCCATCCCAATGGATAAAGTTGTAAACTTTATCCACTATGGAGTTATTAGGAACCTGATTTGAGTATTGAATGGTTAGCCTTTGAGCATTAAGTGCTAATACGAAGTTAGGGTTTTGTTTTGGGCTTCATTAAGCTATACAAAAGCTTAAAGTTGTTGACTTTATCAGTTAAGACCTTCCCAATACTTAGATCTAAGAATTGGATGTTGTATCTTAAAGGATTAAGTGCTTAAAATGAGTTTTTGAAGTCCCTGTGATTACGCCCAACGTAAATCGGAGTACGCAGCGCGTAAGGCTTCTTGGTCCCGTCTTTCCTTTTTTGTGATTGTCGAGTACGTGGTGCGTAATAGGGTGGTACACATGATGTACTCACCAGAGGACCTTTTGGGCCTTGGATCCTTTTGGGTTTGGGTCATCGTTAGATGGGTCAAGTAAGGGAAGGTAAAATAGTCTTTTACCCCTTTGTATTATAGAATATGGTTAGACCATTGATTATGGGTTATTACCCTATTGATTAGGGGTGATTTTGGATATGTTCAGTGTGAGGAGCCATATAGCAGCATCGTGTGTCTGATTCGGATATCCTCAGATTGAGGTGAGTCTTCTCACAGTGTTTGGTGAGTCGAAGGCACCATTGTCGGCCCATTGATTTTGTTCATAGAATGATAGTTGTCTGTCTGACTCTTGCATGTATTGTATATGTTTGTATGTAAAACTTGATGGGAATGTCAAGTCCACCAAGCAAATTACACCCTTTGTTTACAAATAAAACATAATATAATGGTAAAAAGGGGTATCGATCCTCGGGGAAATGGTTGTATTCAATCACCA